GGTAGGATAAGGGGCACATTATCCTACGCAACAATTAATTTAAATTACTGCAATTTTCATTATTAAAATAATTGCTTCAGTCATGCTTTTGCTTTTATAATCACAATTAAACACGATTCGGATGAGAACGAATATTAAAATTTCATGGTTGAACTTCATAAAAATCCACACAAAATGCTTATTGTGTTGTGCTGTTATGATTTCGAATTTAAAATTTTGAAGCGTTTAAATTATATTCCCCCTTAAAGGAAAATGTTTACCTTTGCAAAGTTTTCGTTGCAAGTTTTATTTTCATTTTTAAAACAACAGAACAACTCAAGGCGTCCGTACCTTTGTAGTTGACGGGCGCCATTAAAGCGGAAATTCAAAAGAAAATGGCGAGTAGAAAAATTGGAAAATAAAGTGTAACGGAAGTGACTGCAGCCATCGGTTTTAATTAGTAAAAGCATTTAGGTTACAAGCAAGTTGGGTTTAAAATTTTAATGGTGGTAATTATGTTCCTGATAATCTCTGAGTTCATAAGTTTGCTCGTTAACCGACTACTTATGTTAAAATGTTTGTGATTACACGTATTACTTTATTGCAAGAAGTTTGTGAGATACAGAGATTTTCTTAACTGCCATATAAAGTTTTATATAAATGTGTAGAAAATGTAATTTTAGTTAGATAAGATACCTTCATACCTTCTGCTCAAAAAGTACTCGGATTTTGTAAATAAAACACACAAATTTAAATTTTATTCCAAATTTATTTTATCTCCTTCAAAATATGCTCCTTCTGAAGCGATACAAATATGTCAATGCTTAATCCAATCTTCCATACACTTTTCGAAAGCCCGTGCAGGTATGGCTTTCAGTTCCTTCAGCGAATTCTCTTTCACCGATTCAATCGACTCAAAACGCTTCCAACGAAGGGGCAATTTGAGTTTCGGGAACAGGAAAAAGTCGCACGGATCCAGATCTGGCGAATATGGTGCCTGAGTGATGACAGTGGTGTCGTGTTTGGTCAAAAAATCGCGTACAACAATAATTTTCCTTAGTAAAAATCGCAAAATGCACTTGAGGTAGTCTCACATTAACAGCAGCTGTATACAAACTAATTGACAGATGGTGCTCAAATTTTTACCATATGTCAAGAAAGGGTGTACCAACATAAGATTTTTGAAAAAGGTCTATTACTTAAGGAGTAGTTAACAAACAACAAAATCCGGATACTTTTTGAGCAGAGCCAGTAAAAATATACCAACAAAAATATATTATATTTGCTCGCAATTTAGTTCATGGCACAAAGTTCAATTTTTATTGATTCAATAAGAATACAAAGTAAAATTGTATTCTGTTTGACCTACAATTGATAAGTTACACAAAATAACTTCTTCATTTTCACACAAAAATATTGGCAATATTTTTCAAATTTATGAAATTCATTTAAGTAACTATGACAAAAATTGAAATTGAGTTTTTCTATCAAAAAATAAGAGACAATCAATGACTAACAGCTTTGCGTGATGTAAGCAAATTATAATCTGTTCCCAATGAACTCAAAGAGTAAAGAAGTCGGTATTCATATTCATCAGGCATTATTCATTATTCAGAAGTAATAAAGAAGTTTAAAGAAGTCAAGATTTTAAAGTATAGATTATAATCACCCACACAAATGTTAACTTTCTCAAATATTTTTTAATATCAAACTTATTAAGATGTTTCAGTATAGAGAGAGGTTTTGAACAGTGGAGAACTATAACAACAAATTTTTTTTTAAATTTTATATAATCGAATTTTTGGCTGATCATACAGTTATTTTGAGTATTGTGAAATACCCATTATCAGTAGTCTTGGAATTATTTTTTGTATTTACTTATTTGTAAATAATTTTTGGAGACTTCAAATACTAAGAATTGAATCCATACCCTGCCAAATTTGAAGCTCAGAGTGTTCTTTAACCAACTGACCACATTTAAGTTGATTGTTCAAACTTGCAGTTTTTTCAGTATTTTTAATATTATTAATTATTTTTGGAATAATGAAACTTTTTTGACAAAACGTTAGAGACAAAGCGTAAGAGAAATTCTCACGAGGGTATGAAGCAAAGTGTAGATATTATCTTCGAACACCAACTTCTTTCTTATGGCAGAAATTCGATTAAAATTAGT